CTGCGGCCGCCTCCGTGAGGAGCCCGGGGGGCGGAGGGGACCGGGACTGGAGCCGGCTCCCGTGAGGGGGGAGCGGGGCCGCCTGCCCTGAGAGCCACGGGGGGACCGGGGAAGGCACCCCAGCACCTGGGCTCTGGGCTCGGCCCCAGGTTGCTGCCTGGCCCGGAGGTTTTTCTCCCCGCTGTGGGACTGAGGCCATCAGGGAGGAGGGCCCTGGTACGAGCCCTCCCCTCTGCAGCCCGGCCGTCATCCCTTGTGCTTTCCTCACTTTTATCCTGCTTGTCTTCCTTCAGGTGAGATGCAGGCTGACCGGCCACGAGATGCCGTGTAGGATGTCGGAGCTGCAGGCTTATACTAATGGCAAGAAGTATCAGAGGCTGACAAAGACGGCCAGAGAGTTTGACTATGGCAAGTTTGAGCCACATATAGTGCCGAGCACAAAGAATCTGTACGTATTCTTCCTCTTGCATGTTGTGCTTCGCACCTCATTCAGCCTCACAAATAGAGTGGGTGGCTTGTGCGAAGTTCTTGAGCGTTTATGGTTTTTGGTAGGTGAGGAAAGTCTTTATAAAGTATTTGTTAGCTTTGACCATAGTGCTTAGGAGTGAAAGATTATGAATTAATGGTAGACTTAAACTCTGTTGCTGGCTCTTTCTTTCTTTCTGTGTCTGTAAGACATCAGCTGTTTTGCAAGCTCACTCTCAGGCATATCAACAAGTTTCCAGAGCATGTGCTGCGTCATGTCCAAGGGAAACGCTATCAGAAGGCCCTAAAAAGATGTAAGTCACTTTTCTGAAGATACGGTCATCCAACCTTTTTTTTTCTTAAGCTTTTGTGATTCCAGTTACTCCATATGCGGTGAGCGGGTAAGTTTTCTGTAGACTGACAGAAGCACTGTTGCTGTATGTGCCGCTTAGGCGGGAAGGAAAACCCCAGGCATAGGGAGCAAAAGGCCTCTTTAGCAAACACCTTGGAATGTCTTTACTTGAAAGGAGCAGCTCTAAAGCTTCCCCAGAGAGGATGGTTCATGTGTTCAGCACGGTTTCTGTATTAACATCTGTTCTGTCTTTCATGGTCCCATAATATCATCCTGGATTACAGGAACGCGTATCGGAGTTAGAGCTTAACGTACTTCTGAGTTGTATGTAATATAGACTGTAGCTGGAAATGAAAGGAAGAGGAATCAAGTGATTGGGTATCCTTGCTCACCGCTGGTTGATATCTCACATTACTAGATGAGGAGTGCCAGAAGGAGGGAGTGGAGTATGTCCCTGCCTGCTTGCGACAGAAGAAGCAGCGGAGGTGGCATCCCGATGACCAAACGAATGGGAGCAGACAGCCTTACAGAAAAGAAGAATTCTGGGAGCCAAAGTCCAGTGATGAGGATGGAGAGGAGACAGATGATGACAGTATGAGTGATCTGTACCCACGTGAGTAAGAACACTGGTATCATCTATATCGTAAACAGAGGTTGTTAGTTATTTTTCTTCCAGCCTCTTTGTGTTGCTCCCTTCTGGGAAGCTAGGTCAGTGGGATTTCTATTACCAGTGCAAGAGTAGGACTTAGTGATAGAAAGATAGTTGAATATAGCTGGAAAGATGGAGCCATTGGGAAGGAGCTGCGAGCTTTACTTTGCTGTACTGGAAGAAAGAGCTCAGGTATGATTTATTCATGCACTGCCAGGAGGGAGAGCTTTCAGTGTGCAGGCATGCTGGAGGCTTGTGACTTTTATCCAGTTCTGAGTTCCTGGGTTTGGGAAAAGCTTGCCACCACCAAATATGAAATAGCAGTTATCACTGAGTAACTAATCAGACTCGGATCACAAAATGTGAGAGGAGGGTTACAAGATCCCCTGGGATGTGCTTCTTCAGGTAACTCTACTCCTGATTTCTCCGCAAGTCTTGCAGTCTAATAGGAGTTAGTAAGCCAGTGCCAGTTCCACTGACCTGCATCTAAAATACACTGCCTTCCTGTAGGAGCATTGGGTTTTTTTTTTTTTTTTTTTAAGACCACAGAACTGTCTGTGTTGAGCAGACAGAGCACCAGGCACATTTCTAATAAACCACCATAGTGTGTTTATTCCCCAAGTATTCCAGTATGCCACATGTATGACAGAGGCTAATGCTCAGAGACTGGAATGTGGTACTTCAGCTTGGCAGGTCACCTTTAAGATGCCCACAAAGTAAAAAGTTAGGTGGTAGGTTCCTGCTGCAGAGGAAACTGCTCCTCAGCTGAGTCTCTGTGTTTTAGCTGAACTCTTCCCAGAAAAAAGCTCAGCAGCTCCACAAAATGCAGAGGGCAGCGATGACTTTGCAACAGACAATGAGGAAGACACGGCCAAGCTGACTGGGGAGAACGGTGATGTGAATGGAGAGGACGGCAGAAGAATGAATGTTAGCAGAGCAGCTGGCAACAAAAGGGGAAAGGTAAGAGTTGTATTGCCATGTGCAACAGCAGGGGAGCACGGAACAGGCTTCCTATCCCATAGGTGTTTGTCTCATCTCTTACTGTGTGAGAAGAACTGGCAGAAGGTGTAAAGCTATTTGGGAGAGTAGACTTTCCCCAGGCGTCAGCCACTAACTTGCATCCTGAGGTGTGATTTACTACTGGTAAACGTTTCTCCTGTCTGCTGTGACTAAGGATGTTATTGCCCTTATAGTTATAAAAATTGTTTGCATCCTGCTGCACACTGTCTTCACATCATGTGCATCCTGTGGGTCTTGTATACTTTTCCCCTGGCCCTGCACTAGTTAAGCCCTTTTGATTGCAAGTTACAGGATTCAATTTGGTTTTTCTAGCCCTTTTTTCTCCGCCTCTTTTGAGGAACTGGTAAGCTCTTGCCTTCGGATGTGCTTACAGGAGGATGCATCCTGATCCTTCTCAGTTTGGGAAGCAACTGGATTAGATGCTACATACATAAATTATGCACAAACCTTTAACTGTAAAGGGCAGCCCTGAGGAAGGGGCTGGGATTCTTTTTTAACTGCATCAAACCAGCTGAAGTTTAGATTCATTTCTATGGGGAGGCTGTCAGCATCTGTGTCTAGTGAATCTATCGTGCCCCTGTCAGAAAAGGGGATGCTAGCTTGCATCCCTTCTGTAGGGAAACATCCTGCCTGTCCCTCTGTCCTCTGTGACCAGGACTGGGCTTGTTCTGTATCAAGTGAGACAGGAGACTACTACTAAATTCTTTAAGTCATCTCAGGCAGGGCTGGATTTACTTTTTGGAAAAAAGCTGATTTGAATATTCTCTCTTCGCAGAAACAGTCAGGTCCTTTGAAGAAGAAATTCAAGAGCTGTCATCGGAAACGCAAACATTTCAAGAAAGCAACCAACGGCAAATAAATTTTGTGAGAAATATTGTATGGCCTGAAGCCTGTTGTTGAACAGTTCTAGAGGGTGTACCAGATTGTCTGAAGTGCTCGCCCGCAGATGTTTTTGCCCTTTCCAGTTAACTGGGGGAAGGAAGTAGTGTGAGGTGGAATTCATCAAGTTAATTTTAATAGCTTCTTGGGCTCTCTCCTACCACCACAGAAATGATTACTACTGCAGTTTTGTGCCTTGGGGAAAGTATAGGAAGTCAAGTTCTTGGAGGTCTTTAGGAAAAATGTTTTCCAGTGAGTGGGAGAGAAAGCACACAGGAGTACTAACCAGCAATTCCAGGTAACATAGCTAATGCAGCGTCACCAGTCACACACTCCAAGTGGATACAAAGATGCCGTTATTTTATTTTGATTGTTTCCAAAAATCAAAACATTTTCAAACACAACTAAGGTACAAAATACAGCATAAAATGAGAATTTATACTTATTTCTTTTTCCACATAGAAAGCAAAAATATATTCAGAATGAATTCCAGAACACTCTGCAGAGCCAATTGATAGCTGACATCCTGCTTGTGAGAGCTTGTATTTTGGGGAGATAAATGAATACAGCAGTGTATATGGGAGACTGCACTCTTCTGCATCAGGACTCACAGTTAGTAAGTCTGGATATCGTGCTGCCTAGAAGTGTCTTAAAATGCCCTCCACCTAACTGGGCCCCTATTGTACTATAAGACTTCTGCTGCAAGGGATAGTATCAGTTCCCTTTTCTGGTACCTGAAATGATTTGTCTTTTTTTGGACTTTGTTTTCACAGAGAGGAAACTAGTCAGTGCTTCAGACTAGCGAGTTGTCCAGCTCCTTAGTTAGACATGATGCAAAGGAGGGGAGGAAAAAAAAAAAAAAAAAGGAAGAACGCTAACCAAGGGCTCCTTGCAAAACCTGTTTCTACTATTCAGTTTATAAATACTATGAACATCAACAGCAGTTAAGATAGCTGAGAAGGGCTGCCTTGATATAGTTGAAAACAGCTATTTATAGAAACTGCAGTGAAATTAAGCAAAAAGATCCTGTGTTGCATATCAGGAGTTGAAAGGACCAGTTTGTTTTGCTATGAAGAGACAGGCACAACGAGAACACTTGAGGTGAAAACTTCTCTCCTGCAAAACCTATTTAAAAGAAGAAAAAGTCTTCCGTGACCTACACTTAAATGCTGGCTTCCCCTCCCATCTATTCCCCCAAACTAGTAAGCTTTCTTCAGCAGCAGCACATCATGTTATTAGAAAGGCTATTTTCCCTTAAGATGGTGAAATCACTGGTTTAACAATTGGGAATGCTCTCTATTTGTCATCCATTCTCAGCATAGTTTTCTAGCCCAAAAACAACAGTTAAGCTGAACTGTCCAGGTTAGCGTCCTTACCAGACAACCCTGGTAAATAGTTTCTGCTGGAGATGTTCAGCTGAATGACTCCTTGAACAAACCGTGAAGCAGCTTTCTCAAGGGATACAACAGTGCAAGAAACCCAGTGCAATGCTAGCAAGTTGGTAGGGTTCATGCTTTCTAGAATCTAAAATGCTTTCATGATCCAGTATAAGAGATTCACCTAAGTTTACTAGCAGAGGACAAAAATATCCCTCCTAGCAGCACTAAGCATGTTCATGGCACAGAGGTTGTGGCACTGAGAGGTGGAAACAGGGCCTTCATCTCACCATTAAGCCAAAGAGTTCCTCCCTCCGAACATGCAAGTCACATCTCCCGATTGCTTATTCACTGAACAGGTTTTGCACTTGCATTCTTCAGCTATAACCATTAGCCGTCTTCCACTTTCTCTACACACCTCAGCATGGTCCAAGACATCAGAGAGAAGGGGCTTGCGCTCAGGAGTTCAGTGCCTCAGCTCTTCTGCTGTTCAGTCAGCTTAAGCTTTCACAGCTGAGAGACCACCAGAAGTGAGGCTGGGAAGCAAAGAGTACTGTAGATTTGAAGACTGACTGCTCTCAACTTGCATGTATCAAGTGCAAGGGGAAAAAAAGGGTGGTGGTGGGGGGGGAAGTTTCCATAGTTCTTAAAAACATTTTCACCAGTAACAAGCTGTAGTTCAGAAACTGATCTGGGGCATACACAAATGGAAGCTGGTCGATAGCAGAAAGGTCCTTTTATTGTGGGAACTGCAGCACAACTTGGCTCCCATCTTGGAAATCTAGGAGGAGACAACTTTGGGGACAGAGTATTGAATAAAGAGTTATTTTGGCACAGAATTTTAATAGAATCTAATATTCAGTCTCTTCAGGAGTCTCTTCCTCCCTCCCTTCTTGAAATCTGATGAGCAATATAGAATTCCCCCTTGTTCCCCTCAAGAACAGTACTGTGACACTCAACATTAAAAAACCCTCTCCCTTCTCTCACCTACAGAAGGGTACAGCTACCTTCAGGGTTCTCCTTCCGCCTTGGGTGCGGGAAAGGCCTCCCTCTTCCTCAGAGGCCTAGAATACCATTTTGTCAGGAAAAAAAAGATACATATAACAGCAAGCTCTCTTGATGCTGCTTTCCACTCAGATAAGCAACGCTATAACCAGCGACTGAACTCCTTATACACAAGACAGTTCTGATGAGGGTGAGAAAGGGGATCTACTTTTTTTTTTTTTAAAGTTACAGCTAAAACCCAACAGTACACCGAATGAAACAGCTGTATCTGCTCACAGTACTTCAAACCAAAATGTTGCTGACATCAGAGACAGCAACTGTTCTACTGCAACTTACTGAAGCATCAGTAAAATGCAGGTTCCTTGCATTAGTTCCAATTCTAGGAAGTTAGAACAATAAGCCTAGGCAACGTTCCTTGAAGAAGTAGGATTTTATCTATTAGATTACTGGTGCCACTGTAAATCAAATTCTCAAAACATCTGTGCCTTTAATAGGAAGGGGGCATGTACGTGTAAAATGCTGGCAGTTTTTGTTGAATCCATAGAGAATCAGTTCTGGGCTTAATGTTATGTCCCAAGAAGTGTTGCTACTCCTGTTACCACTCTTTCTTCTTCTCATCCATGGAGACTCCGCCAGGACCCAGTGCAACCACAAGGAGGAGCCCTCCAATTACAGACATGGTCTGGAAGAAATCATATTTCAGGAAGTCATGCATGGGCTTGTAGGCTGGGATGGTCCAGAAGGCATTGAAGTAGATGTTGATGCCAAACAGCCAGATGACTAGAGTCAAGGCAGCCAGCTTAGTCTTGAAACCAATTGCTACTAAGATAATCAAGGCTGTGCCCACAATGTTCTGCAGAATCTGCAGGAAGAGAAAGAGACAAGGTTACGTGTGGTTCTTAAATGGATATGCAGGTACTAGAACAGAACACGAGTAAGTTCCGCAGAACAGGTTGCTGTGGTACAGATGATCTGGTAAGTCTGTTTCTGAGTAAAATTAATATTTAGAAAAAAATTAAGTGAGAAGTATTGAGTGAGCTCTACAACCCTCCAGTTTCTTAACTCCTACTTTTACACTTAGGTACTTACAGAAAAGAAGTTCATATCAAAATGTAGCAGTGTCATGAACATGAGAACCAGCAGCACACGGCCTCCGAGCTGCATGTACTGTTTAGGAGAGCTTTCCCGCATAGTAGGGACACCAGCGAACATGCTCTTTCCCTCTGAGCGTGACTCGGCCAAAAGCAGCAGCAAGCCTCCCCCAAGGGCAAGGTTCCTAAAGAAAGGAAAGGACAGAAAAGCAGTTCTTTACTACAGTTATGCACCAATCTATAAAGACTTACCTGACAGCTTCAGCTCAATAAGAATCTGCATGGTAATGCACAGTGACTTACTCTGTACCCTGCACTGTGTCCGCATTAGAATTCACAGCTGAAACCACAGCATTGTACATGTGACACTGATTTATACAAATCAGTGTAGGCACATATAGCCTGCCAGAGAAATCTGGCATCTGCACTTCAGACAGTTGCCCAGCATCTGTCACAGCATGACTTCAATTGTATTGGAAGTTATTCTGTATGGCAGGTTTACCGATACATACCAGAGCAGTCCAGAGGTTGCTTTGAGAAAGCACAACAGCACTACTACTAGAAGTCATACGCATTTAGAAGGTTGTAATGAGAGCCCAGAATATAGTTCTTGCACTAGATCCTAATGGGTGAGGATTAGTCTTTTCCTTCTACAGTACTGAGCCTGCTGTGTACGTTTTAACACACAGACTATAATGATTTTTAAGAAAGAAAGAAGTACCAGAAAAAAGCAGACATACCTCATCAAAAACTTCAGGTCCCATAGAATGCTGTATGCAATAGTCTAGGCAAAGAACAATAAAAGTTAAGACACCATAAAATGCACTGAAGTTCTGAATGTATGTTATAATATCAAACCTGTAAAATACAATGCAGAAGTCAATTAGAAGCATGTTACACTGAAGGAAACAAGGTAAGGTACAGGAGTGTAGTCTCACGAATCAGTGTAGAAGACGGACTGTGTTTTATGCTTTAGCCGAAAAGAATTGTGGACAGGAAAGGTACTATTAGCACTATCAGAAAGAGTGCTTCATAAGCACTGTATACCAGAGCAACTGCAGGTTCCGCATTTGGTTGGTTTCTGACATGCAGGTAAACTGCAAGTTAACCTTGGCTAGTTTAGCAGAAGTAAGTATTGAATCAACATCCCCAGCTGACTGATTGCAGTTACATTCAAGGAACCATTGGTCACGCCAAGAACAGAAGCGGCAAAATAGTTCAACGTCACTGAAGGCTAGCATTGGGCCAGGCTGGAGAAGAATTCCATGACTGTGGGTTATATTTTAATGGTGGTGGTATTGGGGCTGAGAGAGAGGATTTGAAAGCTAGGGCTTAGAAGTTTTGAAGACTTAAAGCCTCCTACCTGTAATGCTATAATTCCAAACAGTCCAAAGCAGGCATATTGCACAAAGTTCCTACTCAGTACCAGGATACAGCCACCTGAGATAGGAAAATTGAACATAATTACATTTCCGGCTTGCACAGGAAAAGATGCTGCAGGGATGGCACATTTTTTTTAACTTTAGCAGATTCACGATTTATTTCAACTGTGCCACAGAGAACATCAGGTAGGAAATATAAAAGCGATTTGTATCAGTATGCCATTTAAAGATGTACTAACACTCCTTGGTTTTCAAGGTTTTATAATTCCAGAGGTACCCTTTATTCCACAAAACTGAAGCATATGCTGAATGTTGTCCCCAGCAGACAGCATCGTATGGCAGTTGTCAGCGTTAAAGCATTAAGAGAAATTACAAAAAAGCCTCCACTAACCATAAACATACATATATTTTTAAAGTACAGGATGGCTGTTGTGGAAAAACATGCTATGTTTCTTCTCCTTGAGGAGGTACAGGAATAAAAGCTTTTTCTTTTGTCTTCCCTTCACAAAGCACTGACAGCTTTTGCCACTTTGATGATCTCCACAGTGAGGACTGGTAACTAGATTAAATTAAGCGGGCTCTCTACAGGAAAGAATACAAGGTCAAAAGGGAAAAAAAACCCCAAAACCTAGACACAAGACAAGTGGCAGAGCAATGAAGAACATTAAATCAGGCACATAATATAAATGGAAAGTTTTACTTCTCTCTCCATTTACGATACTGGAGGTTCATCTAGCACACATACAGAAGCTCCACCAAGTTTAGTTTGTTTTGATTCCTGGGCTTTGCAGACTATCTCAGACACAAGAGCACTGCTATCTCGAGGCTGAAGTGTACCTCCTAATGGAGGACAAGACTTCTCCATTCAGATGAACCCCCATAAAAATGGTAGGCCGAGAAAGCCTTCACATTGCTCTGCTTAACAAAACAGTATTTTATTCAGAGAATTCAGGTTTTTATTGATAGATGCATGTACAGAATTGAAAACTAACTGTACTAACAGACTCCTGGCAGCACCATTTACTCAGGGGTACTGTGTCAAGAGGAACTTCCCGAGATAATTGATCTGCTTCGGTCTTTCCTGGAAAGAGAGAGTTCTCTCTTCGTTCAGCCCATGTAGTACTATCAGTTCTAAGCTGCCAACGGCTATTGAGAAATCAGGGAGGTGTCCCATGCTTACACGATTGACAGTGCTTACATGAGCCAGGGAGGCAGACACACTGGAGTGCTCCGGCATCCACCTTAACAGCCTTAGAGCCACTTACTCAGCTGTCCGAAGAGATTTATGAACACAAAGATGGAGGCCAGGAAATAGCCACAGTTCCATGTGCCATCAATGTAATCCCTCTGTTCACTCCACTGGAACCACATGCGGATGCCATCCTCCAGGAACGTGCTGATCAGGCACAGGCGGGCCACGTGGGGGAGGTACTGCTTCGTCACCCTCAGGAACTACAGGGGCAGACAGCACAGTTAGCAGGGAAGGCGGGAGGGAAGGGGTGATACCCAAGGCACAACAGATCCATGCACTCAGCAGACTCCAAAGTCAGCAGTTCTCATATGCACAGGGTCATCGTTATCTAGAGAGACCCATGCTTGGGATTCGTATTTAATGGAGCGCTCCCTCCACTCTGGAGTCAGAACGCTCGGCGGGGGGGGGAACGGGAAAAAGTTTTCATGCTCTAACTGAAGACTGTTTTGTCAGAGGGCTTGGATAAGTGGAATGGGGCAGCACAATTCTACGTAACGGGAACCACGTTTTCATGGAACTCTTACTAGAGGAAGGCTGACCTTGGTTTTAGTTTATCTATCTCACGGTTTCATGTTACAGCTCAACTGATCCATCAGCTAGCCAGGAGCTGAAAGGGCAATCCTACTCCCACTCACGTGCTCAGGCACTCAGTACCCTGTAACAAACTGACTCAGGGAGGTAAGCTGGCAGAAGACTAACTCCATAAAGATTAAAAAACATTAATAAGCTTTCCGCTGAGCTAGCTCTCTCCAACAGCTCAGACAAGCACCAGGGCTGAGCATGAGTGTAGAACCTCCCTTGAGCAGAGGGTAGCTATTAGATCAGCGTAGCTCTTGCATGAAACTGCACCCTTTCTCTCCTGCAGAGAGAGCTTCTACATCCATTAAAAATAACATCCTACGCAGAAGAATAAAATAGGCATTAGGTACAAGATTCAGTGTAGTACTTAAAAGGAAGTCATACCATCATGCAACAGATACTGGGAATGCAAGTTGTATCTGGTCCTGCAAGCCCCTCCATCCTGCAAACTCACTGTTTAGTTTGTTCTGCCATTACAATAATTATAAAGGAACAAATACAGTATCTGTTCACCTGCACCATGCAGTCCCATAGAGTCTAGACAGAGTTATTCAATATCTCTATTTGGCGATAACGTATCTGGTTTATGACAAATACTTAACTCCTTGTCACCCAGTTTCTTAAATGGTGTTGGCTGCTACTTAATGAAGACTCAATGCAAATCCTGATGGAAATCAGCACCTGGCTGCTCCACTTCATTCACTGATCACACTTAGCCAAATCATTAGGACACACTTGGAGTTGGCGGATACTAGAGGTATTTTTGGTGAACGGCACTAAGTGACAAATGTAAGTCGAATCTAAAACTAGCTTTGAAGAGATTATCCAGCAGGTTTCTACCTTCAGATGACAGGAACAGTTTGAGCAGGCTGACACTTGCAAAAATACACATACTTCTCACAAGTCTTAATGCAGAAACTGCCAGGCTTTGCAGACAGTCTTGCTTTAGAAATAGGAGGAGGAGCAACCATTCGATAAATCCCATTAACCCACATAAAGTTCAATGTGTCATAAAGCACACTGATTCATACATTTTATGCAATGTTAGAATACTCTACTGAGCATGAGAAAGGGGATGGGAGGAAACAATAAGTGTATAGGTGCTGCCAGATAGCATTCAGCAATATTAAAAAAAGGAAGAGGCAACTTCTTTCATAGTTCAATATTGACATTCTCTTCTGGTTAGAGAATGTAGCTGATCAGTTTTTATTTCTAGACAGAATTTTTTTTTTTTTTTAAGCTCTGGCAGTATTGTATGGTTTCAGGAGAAACGGGAATGTGGGGGAAAAAAGTGACAAGAAAGGAAACTAAAGACACTTCTGAAAGTTTATTCTTGCCACAGTAATTAGTGAATACTAAAGGCTGTTCACAATCCTATGCAAATGACAAGCCTTGCTTGCTGTGCAACTGAAGATTACCAGGAGAAAGAAAAAAAAAATCCAGCAAACATGCTTAGCAGTTAATATCAGAACAAACTACACTAGTTAGCTGTACTGCAGGCATCGAGAGTCTAAGGGTCGAGATTCAAGTCAATCAAGTGCATTTTAAGTACAGCTGTACTCTGACTCAGCGCTGGTACTTTAGGCTTTTTTTTTTTTTTTTTAAATACATGTCAACAGTTGGACGAGTGAGTCGGGAGAAAGTTTTCCTGTGATTTTTTGTCACTGAAAGAGATATATGGTGAAACTAAGGAGAGAGGACAGCTACAAACAGAGATGTGTATTTTGGTAAACTTGAGGTGAGGAATACCAGGGATAAAAATTATTCTGGAAAGAGGGTGCAAAAAAAGTGCTGTAAAATAATCTGCCCTGCACCAAGAAACAGAAAAGGTGACTTCAGTCTAGGAAGACGAAGCATGAGAGGGAGATATAAGGCAGTCGCTGAGCATCCACATGGGGGGAAAAAGCCTTCCCTGCGGGAAGGAGAGAAGCGGGGGGG